TAAGGCGTAGATTTTTTAAATAATTTTTTTCAAGGTTTATATAAGGCGTAGATTTTTTAAATAATTTTTTTCAAGGTTTATATAAGGCGTAGATTTTTTAAATAATTGTTTTCAAGGTTTATATAAGGCGTAGATTTTTTAAATTTTTTTCAAGGTTTATATAAGGCGTAGATTTTTTAAATAATTTTTTTTTTCATGGTTTATATAAGGCGTAGATTTTTTAAATAATTTTTTTCAAGGTTTATATAAGGCGTAGATTTTTGAAATGTTTTTTTTTTAAAGTTTATATAAGGCGTAGATTTTTTAAATAATTTTTTTTCAAGGTTTATATAAGGCGTAGATTTTTTAAATAATTTTTTTCAAGGTTTATATAAGGCGTGGATTTTTTAAATAATTTTTTGTTCGAGACCTACATAAGGCGTGGATTTTTTAAATAATTTTTTTCAAGACCTATTGACAGGCGTGGATTTTTTAAATAATTTTTTTCAAGACCTATTGACAGGCGTGGATTTTTTAAATAATTTTTTTCAAGACCTATTGACAGGCGTGGATTTTTTAAATAATTTTTTTCAAGCCCTACAGGCCTGGATTTTTTAATTAATTTTTTTCAAGGTTTATATAAGGCGTAGATTTTTTAAATAATTTTTTTCACGGTTTATATAAGGCGTAGATTTTTTAAATAATTTTTTTCAAGGTTTATATAAGGCGTAGATTTTTTAAAGAATATTTTTTCAAGGTTTATATAAGCGTAGATTTTTTAAGATATATTTTTTTCAAGGTTTATATAAGGCGTAGATTTTTTAAATAATTTTTTTCAAGGTTTATATAAGGCGTGGATTTTTTAAAGAATATTTTTTCAAGGTTTATCTAAGGCGTAGATTTTTTAAAGAATATTTTTCGAAAGCTACCAAAGGCGTAGATTTTTTAAAGAATATTTTTTCCAAGCCTATATAAGGCGTAGATTTTTTAAAGAATATTTTTTCCAAGCCTATATAAGGCGTAGATTTTTTAAAGAATATTTTTTCCAAGCCTATATAAGGCGTAGATTTTTTAAAGAATATTTTTTCCAAGCCTATATAAGGCGTAGATTTTTTAAAGAATATTTTTCCAAGCCTATATAAGGCGTAGATTTTTTAAAGAATATTTTTTCCAAGCCTATATAAGGCGTAGATTTTTTAAAGAATATTTTTTCCAAGCCTATATAAGGCGTAGATTTTTTAAAGAATATTTTTTCCAAGCCTATATAAGGCGTAGATTTTTTAAAGAATATTTTTTCCAAGCCTATATAAGGCGTAGATTTTTTAAAGAATATTTTTTCCAAGCCTATATAAGGCGTAGATTTTTTAAAGAATATTTTTTCCAAGCCTATATAAGGCGTAGATTTTTTAAAGAATGTAAATGTTGCGTATAAGTGTTGTCAGTAATTATACGCACTGTAGTACAGATGTTCAATCATTGAGGTTTAGTTTTATCTCTGTTTTTCTCTCTAGCATTTAACATTTGTAATCTTCATCCTGAAACGCATACACATATATGTTTTTAAGAGTTTTCCAATATCAATACCTAGCTTTCTACTTTCTATAAATTTATTCACAATCAAAATGTTGTTAATCTACCTTTAGGCTTTGTATGCCTAACGCTAGGCAATACTTTTTTAATCTTTGGCACAGACATTATTTAGTAAATAGAAAGTAAAAAAAAATATGAAAAACTAATCCTAATACCATATCTCTGCTTCTTCGTCTACTATATTTTAATTATTTCATTTGCAAAGCAAAATCTAACTCTTTCATTTACTACGAAAAGTATACTACAAAAAAATATCCCCTCAAGGTAGGCTACAGTATTTTTCATTTTATGTTAAACTAAGCCGTTTAGGTTTAGAATCATTAAAATTCTGTAAATTGTAGCAGAAACACAGTAGTTTGAATTGAACAAAAAGGAGGGGATTTTGAAATCAACAAAAACATATTTGCATATCATTTTAAAAAGGGAAGGGATTTATAAAAAAAGCTACAATTTAAAAATGGAAGAGGAGCTCAGTTCCATTTTTTGTGGTTCGCACACCGCCCCCATAGCTTTATGGTGGTTTCCATGTCACATAAATTTAATATAATTATCTTTGTTCCATAAAAACAAACACGCACACACACACAGACTCCAACATATCCTGAAATGTTAATTTCACATGAATACCCAGTGATTATTAAAGTGAAGTTAGCGTAGAGCTTTTTATAATCTGTTTGCTTCCTCACAACTTCTTCCCCAATTCCTTTTCTACTTTTTCGCCTTTATGTGTTTCTTAAAAACAACTCGAACATTTTCTTAAGATTTTAATCTTAATGCAGACACTCGCACACACACACACACACACATACCAAAAACGACACCATTTAGCTTAAAACTTAAATGAACAATCTCCCTATGTAAGTGTGTCTGTGTGCGTGTTCAGGATACTGATTTTTTTCGTAGCATCCTTGCCGCCAAAACAAAAAATCTCTGCAGTAAAACTGGAAATGCGGCAAAACCAAAGACAACAGACCCATAAAAATTATCATTTCATGTTTGCCATGAAAAAAAACTATAGGGACTCCATAAATGTTTTTATCTGATAAGAATAATAAGAATAATATAAAGAAAAAGTATGAAAAACTTAAACTTTAATTATTTATTTACAAAATATATGAAATAAAGTTAAAAGTTATAATTCATAGCTCCTCAGGAAGTCTTTGCGTATGATTATTATTAATTTTGTTTCTAGGGTGCGTATGATTGTTGACGGCAATCATACGCACCCTAGAAATACAATTGTTTAAACAATATTTTTTTCAAGGGCTATAATAGGCGTGGATTTTTTAAAGAATATTTTTCAAGGGCTATAATAGGCCCGGATTTTTTAAAGAATATTTTCTCAAGGTCTATAAAAGGCGTGGATTTTTTAAAGAATATTTTCTCAAGGTCTATAAAAGGCGTGGATTTTTTAAAGAATATTTTCTCAAGGTCTATAAAAGGCGTGGATTTTTTAAAGAATATTTTCTCAAGGTCTATAAAAGGCGTGGATTTTTTAAAGAATATTTTCTCAAGGTCTATAAAAGGCGTGGATTTTTTAAAGAATATTTTCTCAAGGTCTATAAAAGGCGTGGATTTTTTAAAGAATAATTTTTCAAGGCTAATATATGGCGTAGATTTTTTAAAGAATATTTTTTCAAGGCTTCAAGGCGTGGATTTTTTAAAGAATATTTTCTTAAGGTCTATAAAAGGGGTGGATTTTTTAAAGAATATTTTTTCAAGGCTAATAAAAGGCGTAGATTTTTTAAAGTAAATTTTTTCAAGGCTAATATAAGGCGTAGATTTTTTAAAGTATTTTTTTTTTCAAGGCTTGCATAAGGCGTAGATTTTTTAAAGAATATTTTTTCAAGGCTTACATAAGGCGTGGATTTTTTAAAGAATATTTTTTCAAGGCTAATATAAGGCGTAGATTTTTTAAAGAATATTTTTTCAAGGCTAATATAAGGCGTAGATTTTTTAAAGAATATTTTTTCAAGGCTAATATAAGGCGTAGATTTTTTAAATAATATATTTCAAGGCTTACATAAGGCGTGGATTTTTTAAAGAATATTTTTTTCAAGGCTTATCCAAGGCGTGGATTTTTTAAAGAATACTTTTTCAAGGCTAATATAAGGAGTAGATTTTTTAAAGAATATTTTTCAAGGCTTACATAAGGCGTGGATTTTTTAAAGAATATTTTTCAAGGCTTACATAAGGCGTGGATTTTTTAAAGAATATTTTTTAAGGCTTACATAAGGCGTGGATTTTTTAAAGAATATTTTTTAAGGCTTACATAAGGCGTGGATTTTTTAAAGAATATTTTTTCAAGGCTTGCATAAGGCGTAGATTTTTTAAAGTAAATTTTTTCAAGGCTTGCATAAGGCGTAGATTTTTTAAAGTAAATTTTTTCAAGGCTTGCATAAGGCGTAGATTTTTTAAAGTAAATTTTTTCAAGGCTTGCATAAGGCGTAGATTTTTTAAAGTAAATTTTTTCAAGGCTTGCATAAGGCGTAGATTTTTTAAAGTAAATTTTTTCAAGGCTTGGATAAGGCGTAGATTTTTTAAAGTAAATTTTTTCAAGGCTTGCATAAGGCGTAGATTTTTTAAAGTAAATTTTTTCAAGGCTTGCATAAGGCGTAGATTTTTTAAAGTAAATTTTTTCAAGGCTTGGATAAGGCGTAGATTTTTTAAAGTAAATTTTTTCAAGGCTTGCATAAGGCGTAGATTTTTTAAAGTGAATTTTTTCAAGGCTTGCATAAGGCGTAGATTTTTTAAAGTAAATTTTTTCAAGGCTTGCATAAGGCGTAGATTTTTTAAAGTAAATTTTTTCAAGGCTTGCATAAGGCGTAGATTTTTTAAAGTAAATTTTTTCAAGGCTTGCATAAGGCGTAGATTTTTTGAAGTAAATTTTTTCAAGGCGTTACTTTAAAAAATTATAAATGTTTAACAATAAATGATATGTGTAATTTATAATATTTATAAAATCCCTGCAATAATCTGAGGCGTATACATTATGTCAATAATCATACGCATACATTATGTCAATAATCATACGCCCCCAGGTTACAATGAATTAACCAACATGAAATACTCAAATTTAAATCCTTTAACTTATATCCAAAAACAACAACTACAATAAACACACCATATTCACAAACAATAAACAATGGAGGGCGTGAATAAATCAACCCTTTAGCAAACAATTTATCATGTTAAGTGATAAGACCATACGAAACACACTCTCGCCCACACATACATATATACTCTTTTTTGACATTGGCAAATTGATGCTGTCATTTACCAAAAAAAAACTTTCTTTCGGCACATTCTCCTTTGCCAGAGTCGACTGAAATTTAATTTGAAATAATCACTCATTCTTAAACAAACCCAGAGAGTTACCAATTTTTTTTCTACCTCCTTTTCATTTGTTTTCTTTTTTGTTTTTCCTTCTTTTTGCAGGTCCTACAACTGTACAAATGGTTTCACAAAATCGTCCCCCACCACCAATGACAGTGCCAGTACAGGTGCCTCAGGGTCAGATGGTACAGCCGTATGTCAATGAAAGTGGCACATTGACACATGTGGTATTGTCACCGCAACAATATCAGCAGTTACATGCCGGCCAAGGACACATACATCCATCATTTGTAAGTATAAAAGCCAAAACATACACATACATATTTAAATGTTCTCTCGCTCTCACTCTCTCTCTTTGTTTTGGGGGGGAGAGAGCTCTTTCAATTTTCTTTAATGTTGAGTCATTAAGTTAACCCCGATAACAATGCAAATGGAAAAATGGAGGTCTATAACCTTCTCAAAAGTGAATAGACTTCGCTTCCTGTAGGCTGGGCTGGGTGATTCACTGACAAGGGATTGACAAACTGGCTATTGACACGCACATCGGTGTTTGATTTTAAAATAACTACTGCGTTTTGCATGAAAGGGATTTTTGAATAATTTTCTAATTGACTACGATTGAGGTACGTGATTGTGGTAACTTGGCATATGAAAAAGTTCTGAGGTTTTAAAGTTATAATCCGTACGAAAAAATAATTTTTTTCCAGTATTCATTGTGCCTGAGGAAGCCCTAGCGTATGACTAATATTGATTAGTTCCAAGGGTGCGTATTATTACTGGCAGCAATCATACGCACCTATGTTTTTCAATCATATTTTTTAGGCCTTAGATAAGGCGTAGAATTTGTAAAGAATATTTTTCAAGCCATACCGAAGGCGTAGATTTTTTAAAGAATATTTTTTCAAGGCTTAATGAAGGCGTAGATTTTTTAGGAAATAGTTTTCAAGGCGTAAATTTTTTAAAGAATATTTTTCAAGGCTTAATCAAGTCGTAGATTTTTTAGGAAATAGTTTTCAAGGCTTAATCAAGGCGCAGATTTTTTAAAGAATATTTTTCAAGGCATACACAGAAGGCGTAGATTTTTAAAAGAATATTTTCGAAGGCATACAGAAGGCGTAGATTTTTAAAAGAATATTTTCGAAGGCACACAGAAGGCGTAGATTTTTTAAAGAATATTTTTCAAGGCATACACAGAAGGCGTAGATTTTTTAAAGAATATTTTTCAAGGCATACACAGAAGGCGTAGATTTTTTAAAGAATATTTTTCAAGGCATACACAGAAGGCGTAGATTTTTTAAAGAATATTTTTCAAGGCATACACAGAAGGCGTAGATTTTTTAAAGAATATTTTTCAAGGCATACACAGAAGGCGTAGATTTTTTAAAGAATATTTTTCAAGGCATACACAGAAGGCGTAGATTTTTTAAAGAATATTTTTCAAGGCATACACAGAAGGCGTAGATTTTTTAAAGAATATTTTTCAAGGCATACACAGAAGGCGTAGATTTTTTAAAGAATATTTTTCAAGGCATACACAGAAGGCGTAGATTTTTTAAAGAATATTTTTCAAGGCATACACAGAAGGCGTAGATTTTTTAAAGAATATTTTTCAAGGCATACACAGAAGGCGTAGATTTTTTAAAGAATATTTTTCAAGGCATACACAGAAGGCGTAGATTTTTTAAAGAATATTTTTCAAGGCATACACAGAAGGCGTAGATTTTTTAAAGAATATTTTTCAAGGCATACACAGAAGGCGTAGATTTTTTAAAGAATATTTTTCAAGGCATACACAGAAGGCGTAGATTTTTTAAAGAATATTTTTCAAGGCATACACAGAAGGCGTAGATTTTTTAAAGAATATTTTTCAAGGCATACACAGAAGGCGTAGATTTTTTAAAGAATATTTTTCAAGGCATACACAGAAGGCGTAGATTTTTTAAAGAATATTTTTCAAGGCATACACAGAAGGCGTAGATTTTTTAAAGAATATTTTTCAAGTTGTAGTTTTATAAAGAAAAAATTTTAAGGCGTACACAGAAGGCGTAGATTTTTTAAAGAATATTTTTCAAGTTGTAGTTTTTTTAAAGAAAAAATTTTAAGGCGTACACAGAAGGCGTAGATTTTTTTACAAAAACATAACAAAAGTGGTAATAAACCAGTGAGCGGAGCAGTATAGTCGGACGGGGCCGACCATATGATACCCTACACAACTACCACAGAACTTTAATTTTTGCTTATGTTTATTTCGAGCCTGATCAATATTTTGTGATATTTTACCTCTTGGCCGATTAGAGATCAACAGAATCTCTTCCTTACATTGACATATTTTCCGAATATCCCAATATTCTGTACAGCCCTTCTAATTACTTGTCCGGATTCACTTCACCGTGTGTTGTGATTTTCGGTTTTGTAGCCAATAGATCGACTCGAAAAAATACAAAAAATTTAATCTGATCATCACAGAAATTATAGGCGTTATCCTTGACCACACCTGGATCCTCAAGGAAAATTTCAAAGCGATGAGCGCTATATTTTCCCCCTCTATTGTGGCAATATGTTACTAAATAATATATGAATACGTAAGCTCCTGAAAATATTTACGTGTAACTCCCATATCCGAGTACATACGACCATATAATTGGTATCAATTTAAAGGTGAACCACTCCTCTTGGATATACTATCAACTTCTTGAGTCTATGTCCTTCAGGAGTAAATATATACGCTCTAGAATACAAATTTTGTAATTTTTCACACAAAAGTCAGGGTCCATTAGATCCGCTAAATATTGACCGATCTTTATCAAAACAGGCATGCTTATTCTTTGGCCCGATCCCCTTCTCCATGCAAAAATTCGCGATGTTTGGGCCATAATTGCGGCCTCTGGAGCGACCAGAAAAACCGACAAAAATTAAGTATTTGGTCCATTTCATCCCCTAAATATTAATCGATCTTTACAATAGGGGTCTTCATTGAGCAGAACCCATCCTACATGCAAAATTTCGTGAAGATTGGTCCATAACTGTGGCCTGTATCGTGTTTACAAATTATAATGGACAGACGGACGGACGGACGGACACACATGTCTAGATCGACTCAGCTAGTCGAGATATGACGATCGGTATACTTAAAGGTTGGTCTAGGACCAATATTTCGCGGTGTTACAAACTCTTGGGTCTGCACAAAGGTGTAATACCCTGACAACATAGTTGTGTAGGGTATAAAAAGTATTTTTTTTTTAATATGTATTTACAGTACGTGAGGAATACCTAACGTATGACTATTATTAATTGGTTTCTAGAGTGCGTATGATTATCGACCGTAATCATACGCACTGAGGTACCACAAGACTAATTTCTAAATAATTGTAAAGTGTGGATTTATTAACGATTTGAAAATTTTCAAGGATTATATTTCAAATAATTTCCACATAGTTTTCATAACAATTCTAATTCCTATCAAAATTATTTTAAGTGTACACACATCATTCTGCCTTCTCTTCAACATCTTGTTCTTCAAATAATTGCTTGTTAACATTTGTATACATTCTTTTGTCCTATTGTTAGATTACTCATGCTATCCAGATTAATTGATTACAATATCAAACATGTGTAATAATATTCGTTTCATTGATTGATTTCACATAAATTACCAAATAACAAATATTGAACAATTTAAAATTTTGCTAATTGTCTTCATGTTGTCTGCAGAACATATAGTTTTGGGCTAATTAAAAATTTAGCCAATCAAAATATGCTATGCCATAACTATGATGATGATGAAGCTAATGATGATTTCTTAGTAAATTTGTGAAATTGGATAAAGTAATTATGTACGAAAAACTTCTTAAGTTAAGGAATTTTGTATATCAAAATAATTTTAATTGAAAGTAAATTTCAATAAGATGTCTTGAAATGCCAACGATATTTTCTGCAAGTAAATCTATTTAATTTGAAATCAATTTTAATTAAAAGTTTAAAATCAATAATACTTGAATGATTTTCTAGGAATTGTAATCATTTTTGAAATAATGGGGAGCGTATGATTGTTAATTTGTAGAATATAAGTAATACGTCACCATGGACAAGTGTACTAATTTTATTAATAACAATCATACGTCTACTGGGAAAGATGAATTTTGTTAATATAAACAATGACATTTTGGAGGAAAGTGGAAAAATTAATAACTAAAATCTTGTGAATATTTATGTGATTTAGTTTTTCATTATTTTTCATAACTATTTTGATAGCCATTCGGAAAAATATATCAAAAAAAAAGTTCCTCACACAATATCCTCACACCAAAAATATATTTTCTCCCTCTCCTCACAAATTGCTATCCTTCCATTCCGTTAATTTCCTGACTAATCCATAAATTCACAATTCAATACCAAAAATATATATTATTAATGACCTGCTTGGGGTCATATTATTCATACACCTTACAAAATGCCGCCAGCAGTTAGAAATAATAATAGTAATAAATTATGTTCTATTATGTGCCGAAAATTTAACTTTTATTCTTAACCAAATTTGTGTGTGTGTTGTTGGATTGGATTATGTGGGAAATGTCAACAATAATATTTAAATATACCCTGCAGCTATTTATGTTAATCTATTGTCCAAATGTATACGCTCCACACACACACACACACCTGTTTTCTATGTGGTAACATATATTTGACAAAACAATTAACAGGATGTGACATATAGCCGTTAGGTATAGGTAAGGGATAAGAGGATAAGGTTTTTTCTCTGTGGCATAGAGAAGTTAAATTGTCATGTGAATGCCATCGACTGTTTGTCGAACAAAGAATAAATGATAAATGGTATATTAACGTTCTTTTGAAATCAAAACCACTGGGCGTATGATTGTCGACAATAAGCATACGCACCAAAGATTGGTATTAACCATAGAAAATTTATTTGTGGGTGTAATACACAGCGGGCGTATGATTGTGGACAAAGACTATATTAATATTAATTCACAGTGCTTGAGGAAGTCCTAACGTATGACTAATATTAATATGCACCAAGGGTGCGTATGATTATTATCCACACTCATACGGACCAAATTAACTCATAAGTACAGCACATTATACATTTTACATAAAATATTTTTTTTTCGAAAATTTACACGAAAATTTCATGTTTTCCCCCACAAGGTGTGGATAATTCCTTATGTGAACGAATGCCCTTGTCGGGTTTAGCCCAGAAGGAAAAAATCACCATTGGTCATTAAATTTGTCATTCCATTTGGAACACCTCGAAATATTCACCGGAGACCTA